CTTCTCCGCCAACGGATAAGAACGCAATATATGTTTGTCACCCTTCTCCGCCAACAGATAATTGTGACTTTCTATGAATTTCTTAACCGATCAGTTGCCTTCTAAATCAACGACATATCAGATCATGACTGGAAAACCAGTCCTTTTGTCCGCTCTTTTGAACGTCACCGTAATATTGTCCTTCAACTCTTTTTTGAAACCACTCTTACCACAAACAAAATCCTTTGTCTTAATCTTCTTTGAATTCAGTCAAAAACTACTGTGGTGATTTCGCACAGTAAATCCAATTGGGTGCATATACACAATATTGGTCATAGACTTCATTTTTATTGTGGACAACTGCATGAAGCAATTTCTCTGTCTCTGGTGATTGCAAATTTAAACATCAGCATGAGCACCCCAAAAGGAAATCAATACAAGGCTACAATACATAAATCACACGATCATAATACCATAATATAACTCAGATAACACCATTGCAGTGCCAATATAATAGATCAATTAAATCGCGTTATTAGATCGGGATATGTTATTAGCACCATCGTTAAAAACCTATGATTCACAGATAACACCGTGATAAAACCATAATAACACCCTGATAACACAATTAGAACGCCAATATAAGACTCCGATAAAACGTCTCATTAGAACAAAATAACACTAGAAAAACCCCATGATAATACCAAAATAACATCAAACTACCACTCACCATGTATGATACCTTACAGGGAAAAAACACCCGCATAACACTAATACCAAAATAACATCAAACTACCACTCACCATGAATGATACCTTACAGGGAAACACATTAACACAAGCATAACATCATTAAACGTCAACATAAAACACTAAAACAAAACCAAGCCATTAAAACAAAACTAAGCCATTAGATCCAATATTACCTTAATAACACCATGATATTACGAAAATAACACAAAATCCTCACGACAGTAACGTTACAAGCAACTGATACTGTAACAAAAAAACAACCAGTATAGCATCCACGTCCGACACTAACCGAAACTTAGCGTTACACATCAGATAAAAACAGAGCAAACTTCATTAACAAGACAAATATTCCTTAAAACCTAAATCAACAGTAAAACAAATATAATCTACTTGTCGAATCCCTTCTGTCGCAGCTAAACTGAGCTCATTGTCATGATTCTCGTAAATATTGAGATTTCAGCTCATTGCCATGTCACTTGCAAGTAACATGAGATTTCAATATCATTTCCTTGTCAAGAAATACTTCCATCGAACCCCATCCACTGAATACGAATGGATCCCTAGAAAGGCAATGAAATGAGAATATCCCGAATCCCTAAACCTAGAGGAGACAAAATACGACTTTTTCTGATTGGCGGGAAGCATGGATCCCTAGAAAGACAACGAAATGAGAATATCCCGAATCTCTAAACCTAGAGGAGACAAAATACGGCTTTTTCTGATTGGCGGGAAGCGAAAATGAGAAAACTACACTTTTTTTATGCATGGCCAGGACTCAGTCCGGGTTGGACGCAATATAATATAATTTTTTACGTTTGTGGGGACATATTCTGCGTGGCATTTTGTTATTGGCTTCCACATACATTTTTGCATACATTGCACGTATGAAATAATTTTTTCATGCACAAAACTTCGGCTTTGCAGAGCCCTCTTATTTCCCTTGAAACCCATCTCTTCGATCAAAAGCACAACTTCTCCTCTCGACAAAGCTGCTCACTTCTCTTTCCTCCCTCGGCCTCTTCTTCCACTGCACGCGAATATTAGTAGGGAAACCTCTCGTTCATCCTTGCGACTGACACAAATTTCCTCTTCTCTCTTCTTCCTCGTCCTGACTTCGATCGCTGCTCTCAGTGCCACAAGCCCTCGACAGTGCTTCTACCCTCTTCTCCATCGTACAACTCGATGCAGACAACACCGCACGACTCGACGCATGCTACACTGCGGTCTTTTTCTCTTCCTCTTCATCGTCGCACAACGATACCGTAAGATCTCCACTTCTCTCCTGTGGTTGCGGCGTAACCCAACCGAGTGCGTGAGGCTCTCCTTCCTCCACGACACGTCTTGATCCGACAAGCTTTCCTTATGTCCTCGACAGAGCCGTAAGTGGTCTCTTCCCTCTTTTTCTCATGATTCTTCTCTCGCTCTCTGTGACGATTAGGAGAGAAGAATGATGAAAGGATATCCTACCCCTCCCAACTTAACTTGCGGAGAGACCATATCATCGGGGGACCACCACATTTTACAATATTGATTCAACCCAAACATCTTATAGCTAGAGTATACTCACGGGAATATCTAAGCTGACCCTGCCTAAGGAGAAACTTATTTAGAGTAGAGAACAGGTGAAGCGAACAAGTATTACTAAATTTGTTCTAGCCAGAAAGTGTTTCATGTGCCATGATTTCAGGCATATTGAAGTAGATCGCACTACTTGGGGAATGATATATTTCATTGAGCAAGTAGTTGTTGAAGAAATGGGCAAATGACATAATAGACACTGAAGAATGTGAAAACATAAAGGAGAATGCCTAGATCTGAATAGATGAGTGAGGAAAGCTTCAAGCTAAGGCCATAAGGGAGACTCCAATAAAATTCACAATGGTAGTCTAGGAGGGTCCTAAATCCAAGGAACTGACACCAAACACCCGACTACCTTGATAAGAGAAATTCAGACTTTTCAAATAGGTTCATTCCTCTATTGTTTAAGAAAGGTCCAATATGCCAGAAATGAGGCTCTTTTTTGCCACTTTTGGAAGATTATATGGAATGAGTTGGGTGTTAAAATATATTCAACACTGTACCCTCGACAAATGATTAGACATGATGGATGAGCCACAGTTTTAGAAATTGTTGTAGGAGCTTGGCGGGGAGGAAAGTTCTTCAATGTGATCCAAACTCTATTAGAAGAGAAGAAGAGGCTTCTCTTGAGTGGTTGTTGGTAAGAGTTGCTCACCTTGTCATAGAGTTCGTCCCAAAGTTGAATCCTCCTTACATAATTGTTTATTAGATACATCCAGTCTAGTACAAGGAGTGAAATCGGCAATTTACGGAACTGATGACTTGGGAGTTACTTTGGGAGAAATTATCATTATATGGAGCTACAACTCATGTTGTGGCAAAAGCAGATGGACATTTATTCTGTCAAGATGTGCTTTGGAATGACAATGCTGACAGGAGAGATTTTCCCTGAAGTTACAATAGCTCCACCACCTATGAGAACACAAAAGCTTTGACAGATAAAGTTGAAGCTCCCCCAATCTAAGGAAATTGACACAAGAGTTATCGGGACCCCTCCTCTGTGACTTATTGTACAGTGCTTGGGCTTATAGAGTCGTGGGAGCCCGGTCCCGCGATTCTATCATGTGGACCGAACCGGTCCAAACCTGGGACGGCTTACTGGCTCTCCTACGTTGGTTTGGCGCCTCCTTTCTATAGGGGGATCCAATCGTAAGTATCTTGGGCTTTTATATGTGGTTCATTTGTTTGAGGTGTTTAGTTTTTCGTGGGTTTTGTTTAGGATAGCCGCCGACGTCCGTTCTTCTCCCTTCGAGGTTGTATTCAAGCCATTGGGTGGTGTTTCGACTGTATTTCTCTTACAAGTTGGTGATTATCTTCTCTATCCACTTCCGCATCTTCCCCCATGACGCTCCCGACCATGCTCCATCCCTGCAGCCGCCCTAAACAACGCTCTTTTGCTGTTTTTCACTATAGTCTTTTCGCCCGCACTCCCCCCCCCCCCCCCAGCATCCCGCTCTTTCTCCCCGCCAACC